AAAATTGCAAAAAAAATTCGAAAAAAATTTATAACTTTCGCCTTGACGAAATCTTGAACATAAAATAATTTTTTTTAGCTTCCACTTACTCCTACAAAGTACGAAAAAAACATTAGAAGACGGTACGCGGACATCAACCCTTTCAAAAAATGTTTTTTTCCGGAAAATTGCAAAAAAAATTCGAAAAAAATTCATAACTTTCGCCTTGACGAAAATTAAAATATCAATTATTTTTTTTAGCTTCCCCTCACTCCTAAAAAGTACGAAAAAAACATTAGAAGACGGTAAGCGGACATAAGCCCCTTCAAAAAATGTTTTTTTCCGGAAAATTGCAAAAAAAATTCGAAAAAAATTCATAACTTTCGCCTGGACGAAAATTAAAATATGAATTATTTTTTTTAGCTTCCCCTTACTTCTATAAAGTACAAAAAAAATATAAGAAGTCGGTACGCGGACATCAACCCCATCAAAAAAAGTTTTTATCCGGAAAATTTCAAAAAAAATTCATAACTTTTGCCTTGACGAAATCTAAAACATAAAATAATTTTTTTTAGCTTCCCCTTACTCCTAGAAAGTACGAAAAAAACATTAGAAGACGGTACGCGGACATCAACCCCTTCAAAAAATGTTTTTTTCCGGAAAATTGCAAAAAAAATTCGAAAAAAATTTATAACTTTCGCCTTGACGAAATCTTGAACATAAAATAATTTTTTTTAGCTTCCACTTACCCCTACAAAGTACGAAAAAAACATTAGAAGACGGTACGCGGACATCAACCCTTTCAAAAAATGTTTTTTTCCGGAAAATTGCAAAAAAAATTCGAAAAAAATTCATAACTTTCGCCTTGACGAAAATTAAAATATGAATTATTTTTTTTAGCTTCCCCTTACTCCTAGAAAGTACGAAAAAAACATTAGAAGACGGTACGCGGACATCAACCCCTTCAAAAAATGTTTTTTTCCGGAAAATTGCAAAAAAAATTCGAAAAAAATTTATAACTTTCGCCTTGACGAAATCTTGAACATAAAATAATTTTTTTTAGCTTCCACTTACTCCTACAAAGTACGAAAAAAACATTAGAAGACGGTACGCGGACATCAACCCTTTCAAAAAATGTTTTTTTCCGGAAAATTGCAAAAAAAATTCGAAAAAAATTCATAACTTTCGCCTTGACGAAAATTAAAATATGAATTATTTTTTTTAGCTTCCCCTTACTCCTAGAAAGTACGAAAAAAACATTAGAAGACGGTACGCGGACATCAACCCCTTCAAAAAATGTTTTTTTCCGGAAAATTGCAAAAAAAATTCGAAAAAAATTTATAACTTTCGCATTGACGAAATCTTGAACATAAAATAATTTTTTTTAGCTTCCACTTACTCCTACAAAGTACGAAAAAAACATTCGAAGACGGTACGCGGACATCAACCCCTTCAAAAAATGTTTTTTTCCGGAAAATTGCAAAAAAAATTCGAAAAAAATTTATAACTTTCGCCTTGACGAAATCTTGAACATAAAATAATTTTTTTTAGCTTCCACTTACTCCTACAAAGTACGAAAAAAACATTAGAAGACGGTACGCGGACATCAACCCTTTCAAAAAATGTTTTTTTCCGGAAAATTGCAAAAAAAATTCATAACTTTCGCCTTGACGAAAATTAAAATATGAATTTTTTTTTTTAGCTTCCCCTTACTCCTAAAAAGTACGAAAAAAAAATTAGAAGACGGTACGCGGACATAAGCCCTTTCAAAAATTGTTTTTTTCCGGAAAATGGCAAAAAAAATTCGAAAAAAATTCATAACTTTCGCCTTGACGAAAATTAAAATATGAATTATTTTTTTTTAGCTTTCCCTTACTCCTACAAGTACATAAAAAATATAAGAAGACGGTACGCGGACATCAGCCCCATCAAAAAAAGTTTTTATCCGGAAAATTTCAAAAAAAATTCATAACTTTGGCTTGACGAAATCTAAAACATAAAATAATTTTTTTTAGCTTCCCCTTACTCCTAGAAAGTACGAAAAAAACATTAGAAGACGGTACGCGGACATCAACCCCTTCAAAAAATGTTTTTTTCCGGAAAATTGCAAAAAAAATTCGAAAAAAATTTATAACTTTCGCCTTGACGAAATCTTGAACATAAAATAATTTTTTTTAGCTTCCACTTACTCCTACAAAGTACGAAAAAAACATTAGAAGACTGTACGCGGACATCAACCCTTTCAAAAAATGTTTTTTTCCGGAAAATTGCAAAAAAAATTCGAAAAAAATTCATAACTTTCGCCTTGACGAAAATTAAAATATGAATTATTTTTTTTAGCTTCCCCTTACTTCTATAAAGTACAAAAAAAATATAAGAAGTCGGTACGCGGACATCAACCCTTTCAAAAAATGTTTTTTTCCGGAAAATGGCAAAAAAAATTCTAAAAAAATTTATAACTTTCGCCTTGACAAAATCTAAAACATAAAATAATTTGTTTTAGCTTTCATTTACTCCTAGAAAGTACGACAAAAACAATAGAAGACGGTACGCGGACATCAACCCCTTCAAAAAATGTTTTTTCTGGAAAATGGCAAAAAAAATTCTAAAAAAATTTATAACGTTCGCCTTGACGAAAATTAAAATATGAATTATTTTTTTTAGCTTTCATTTACTCCTAGAAAGTACGACAAAAACATTAGAAGACGGTACGCGGACATAAGCCCCTTCAAAAATTGTTTTTTTCCGGAAAATGGCAAAAAAAATTCGAAAAAAATTCATAACTTTCGCCTTGACGAAAATTAAAATATGAATTTTTTTTTTAGCTTCCCCTTACTCCTAGAAAGTACGAAAAAAACATTAGAAGACGGTACGCGGACATAAGCCCCTTCAAAAATTGTTTTTTTCCGGAAAATTGCAAAAAAAAATTCATAACTTTCGCCTTGACGAAAATTAAAATATGAATTTTTTTTTAGCTTCCCCTTACTCCTAGAAAGTACGAAAAAAACATTAGAAGACGGTACGCGGACATCAGCCCCATCAAAAAAAGTTTTTATCCGGAAAATTTCAAAAAAAATTCATAACTTTTGCCTTGACGAAATCTAAAACATAAAATAATTTTTTTTAGCTTCCCCTTACTCCTAGAAAGTACAAAAAAACATTCGAAGACGGTACGCGGACATCAACCCCTTCAAAAAATGTTTTTTTCCGGAAAATTGCAAAAAAAATTCGAAAAAAATTTATAACTTTCGCCTTGACGAAATCTTGAACATAAAATAATTTTTTTTAGCTTCCACTTACTCCTACAAAGTACGAAAAAAACATTAGAAGACTGTACGCGGACATCAACCCTTTCAAAAAATGTTTTTTTCCGGAAAATTGCAAAAAAAATTCGAAAAAAATTCATAACTTTCGCCTTGACGAAAATTAAAATATGAATTATTTTTTTTTAGCTTCCCCTTACTCCTAGAAAGTACGAAAAAAACATTAGAAGACGGTACGCGGACATAAGCCCCTTCAAAAAATGTTTTTTTCCGGAAAATTGCAAAAAAAATTCGAAAAAAATTCATAACTTTCGCCTTGACGAAAATTAAAATATGAATTATTTTTTTTAGCTTCCCCTTACTTCTATAAAGTACAAAAAAAATATAAGAAGTCGGTACGCGGACATCAACCCTTTCAAAAAATGTTTTTTTCCGGAAAATGGCAAAAAAAATTCTAAAAAAATTTATAACTTTCGCCTTGACGAAATCTAAAACATAAAATAATTTGTTTTAGCTTTCATTTACTCCTAGAAAGTACGACAAAAACAATAGAAGACGGTACGCGGACATCAACCCCTTCAAAAAATGTTTTTTTCCGGAAAATTGCAAAAAAAATTCTAAAAAAATTTATAACTTTCGCCTTGACGAAATCTTGAACATAAAATAATTTTTTTTAGCTTCCACTTACTCCTACAAAGTACGAAAAAAACATTAGAAGACGGTACGCGGACATCAACCCCTTCAAAAAATGTTTTTTTCCGGAAAATTGCAAAAAAAATTTATAACTTTCGCCTTGACGAAAATTAAAATATGAATTATTTTTTTTAGCTTCCCCTTACTTCTACAAAGTACAAAAAAAATATAAGAAGTCGGTACGCGGACATCAACCCTTTCAAAAAATGTTTTTTTCCGGAAAATGGCAAAAAAAATTCTAAAAAAATTTATAACTTTTGCCTTGACGAAATCTAAAACATAAAATAATTTGTTTTAGCTTTCATTTACTCCTAGAAAGTACGACAAAAACAATAGAAGACGGTACGCGGACATCAACCCCTTCAAAAAATGTTTTTTTCTGGAAAATGGCAAAAAAAATTCTAAAAAAATTTATAACTTTCGCCTTGACGAAAATTAAAATATGAATTATTTTTTTTAGCTTCCCCTTACTCCTAGAAAGTACGAAAAAAACATTAGAAGACGGTACGCGGACATAAGCCCCTTCAAAAATTGTTTTTTTCCGGAAAATTGCAAAAAAAATTCATAACTTTCGCCTTGACGAAAATTAAAATATGAATTTTTTTTTTAGCTTCCCCTTACTCCTAGAAAGTACGAAAAAAACATTAGAAGACGGTACTGGGACATAAGCCCCTTCAAAAAATGTTTTTTTCCGGAAAATTGCAAAAAAAATTCATAACTTTCGCCTTGACGAAAATTAAAATATGAATTTTTTTTTTAGCTTCCCCTTAATCCTAGAAAGTACGAAAAAAACATTAGAAGACGGTACGCGGACATAAGCCCCTTCAAAAATTGTTTTTTTCCGGAAAATTGCAAAAAAAATTCATAACTTTCGCCTTGACGAAAATTAAAATATGAATTTTTTTTTTAGTTTCCCCTTACTCCTAGAAAGTACGAAAAAAACATTAGAAGACGGTACGCGGACATAAGCCCCTTCAAAAAATGTTTTTTTGCGGAAAATGGCAAAAAAAATTCTAAAAAAATTTATAACTTTCGCCTTGACGAAATCTAAAACATAAAATAATTTTTTTTAGCTTCTATTTACTCCTACAAAGTACGAAAAAAACATTAGAAGTCGGTACGCGGACATCAACCCTTTCAAAAAATGTTTTTTTCCGGAAAATGGCAAAAAAAATTCGAAAAAAATTCATCACTTTCGCCTTGACGAAAATTAAAATATGAATTAATTTTTTTTAGCTTCCACTTACTCCTAGAAAGTACGAAAAAAACATTAGAAGACGGTACGCGGACATAAGCTGCTTCAAAAAATGTTTGTGTCCGGTAAATTGCAAAAAAAATTCGAAAATAATTTATAACTTTCGCCTTGACGAAATCTAAAACATAAAATAATATTTTTTAGCTTCCACTTACTCTTAGAAAGTACGAAAAAAACATTTGAAGACGGTACGCGGACATCAGACCCTTCAAAAATTATTTTTTTCCGGAAAATTGCAAAAAAAAATTCTAAAAAAATTTATAACTTTCGCCTTGACTAAAACTTAAATCTAGATTAAATATTACTTGTTCTTCTATTTTTATTGTTTTTATTATGAATATTAATAATTTAATTTTTATTTTTATTATTTTTATCAATCATTTATTTCCTTTCAGTGTTTGATGTCGTGGTTTGAATGTTATTGAATTTCATTCTTTTGTTTTTAAATTATAACCTAAGGATTTGCGTAATTTGCGTAAGAATTGTCAAACTGTTTTATATGTTTCATTCATTTGTTTATATGTTAGTACCAACATAAATTTTTTCAAAAATTGACTTGGAGTTGATAACTGGGTGCCAGTTTCAGTTTCATAATTTTTGCTAATTTACAGATTCTATGGAGGAAAAAAAAAAAAAAAAAATTAAAAAAAAGAGAATTTATGGAAGAAAGTAAAAAAAAACAAAAAATGAAAATAAAATGACTATAATTGTATAATATTAGAAATTAGAAAATGCGCTCGCGCGTTGATAAAGCGTTGCGATGCGTCGGCGTTAACAATCAGCACGTGGCATTGACTATATACAAAATCTACATCCCGGTGTTTCTTGTTTAAGTCGGGACAACCCTCCGACGACGTTTGTCGTGTGCGCGTTTTAATATCCAGTCGATCTATACGCATATATATATATATATATAGTTTTGTTCGGCGAATTCAAGAAAATTTCCTTCTTCGTCAAGAAAGAACGAAAGAAAAAAAGAAAAAAAAACTACAAAAAAAAATGTTTATCAAATTTCTTCATTATCAATTTGAGCCGAAAAAATCAGGATTTAAAAATTTTTATTTCCTCAAACGATGGATCTTCTGTTAGGTGAGTTACAAATTAAACAAAAATTTTATTTTCCAAATAATTAAATTTTATAAATAACAAGAAAAATTTGTACATGACAAAAATTTTTTTTGTTTATTTTTACCAATTTATCCGCAGGTTTTTTTTTTTTTTTATTATTTTTTTCATATTAATTAATTTTTTTTTCGTATTAATTATTTTTTTTTTTTAAATTTATTTTTTGTATTAATTATTTTTTTTATTTTAATTTTATTTTTTGTATTAATTATTTTTCTATAATAATTATTTAGTAGTTATTATAATTTTTCCGTATTAATTATTTAGTAGTTATTAAATTTTTTTTTGGAAATTAATTTTTGTTTTCAAAAATTTTCAAATTCATTTCATAAATAGATATATGTATTTTTTTTTTTTTTTTAAATACTGAAAATTTTATATTATTTCGAAAACAAAAATTTGAAAATTTTTTAAAAATTTAATTTTGCGTAACAATAAATTCTTTTTGTTTTTTGTAAATTTGAAAAAGAAAATTTTTCTCCCGCGATCGTAATTAGTTTCAGAAAAATTGTTTCCCCTCTTTTTCTTCGGGCAAAAAAGAAAATTTTCCAATTTTCTTTCGGGGAAAAAGGAAAATTTTTTCCGATTTTTTTTTTATGTTGGTAAATATTATATATACTTTCTGTAAAAATGAAGTAATTCGGGTGAAGTTTGACCTGCTTCAGAGAAAAAGAAAGAAAAAGAGAGAGAGAGAGAGAGAGAGCGCAAAACACATTTGCATTGAGAGGGTGATTTCATTGAAATGTTCCACACACGGATTTTATGAGTATATGACCCGATATAAAACAAGATATTCACAACGATGCTCTACGCTCTGTAAACTCATTTCACCGCTTCTTATACCATCCTATAAATTGCCATATATATGTATACAATGCGTTTTATATAGAAAAACGAATCCCTTCCCTCCTATATATATATATTTTTTGTATATATATATATATGTGATAATATTTTTTTGCTCGTAAATATTGAATCTTAGATAAAGATAAAGACGATTTTTCAAATGAATGTTTTTCTTCATCAAATTCAATTCACCATCCTCCTTTTTCATTCTAAAGGGGAAAACTTCATTTTTATCTTTTTTCCATCGTGAAAATCATTTTTCTCTTAAAACTCAAAAACTCTTGGTACATTGTTCTCTTTAGGAATTTTTTTTTTTTTTTTCCTATATTTTTTGTTTGAAAAATTTATATTGTTAATCAAAAAATTTTGTTATTAATTTCTTTTTTTATAGAAAAAATTTTTTTTGGAGAAAAAATAAATTTAATTATTATAAAAATTATCAATTATTATTTAGAATTTTTTTTTTTTTTTTTTCTCCAAAAAAAAAGAAAAAATTTATTTATAGACATTGAAATTGTACGACTTTTTGGATTTTTTTTTTCGAATTATAAAAAAAAAAAAACAAAATATTTTCGATTTATTTTACAAAATGAAATGAAAAATTTAATTAATTTATTAAATTAAAGAGAAATATGAATGTGACTTTTCTTTGGTACAATATAGATAATTGAAAATTTCATTTTTTTTTTTGGAAAATTTTGAATCTAAAATGTCTATGGAAATGAATTATTTTCAATAATTTTTAATGATAATTAATTATAATTTAAAAAAATTTCCAAAATGATTTTTTGAAAATTATTTATTTTAATATTATTTTGAAAAAATTTAATTCTAAATAATTTTTTTGGGAAAATTAAAATTATTTTCAATTAAAATTCTTTGAAAATTGAATTATTCAAAAATATTTTTCATATTCAAAAATTCTTAAAAATTCCAATTATAGTCAAAAATTCTTTTTAAAAATAATCTTCAATTTGAATTTATAAAATTTTCATTTCAAAATCTCGTAAAATTCAATGAATTCTTAAAATTTTCTGAAATTCAATTATTTTTTATTTTTTTTTTTTTTTTGATATCTATTTAAAATTATTCGCCTATTTAATTATTTCCCAATTATTTTAATCAAGTTCTTCTTAAATTAAATTATTTTTTAAATTATTTTTCAATAATTTGAATAAAAATTTAATTAATATTCAATTATTTTTTTTTATTTGTTTAAAAAAAAATCTTCAACAATTGAGGTTTTTTTAAAAAAAAATTTCAATTTAAAAAACTCTTGAAATTCAATTATTTCAAAAAAATCAAAAAAAATATATATATCTTTTCAAAAAATCAATTATTCTTAAAATTATCAAAAATTCTTCGCCAAATTAATATAATTTTCAATATTATTCATCGATTTTTTTCTATTTCAAATTTTTTTTTTTTATCAATTTCTTTTGAAATTTAGTTTATTTAAATTATTTTTAAAATATAAAGGAGAATTGAAATTTAATTAATTAATTTTTAATTAAGGCAACCGAGTGATAAATTCAATTATTTTTTAAAAATATTTTTATTTAAAAATTCTCCTATTTTCCATATAGTATGAAAATCTAATATTTTTGAAATTCTTAAAAATTTGGCTCAATGTAATTTTTTGATATTATCTAAATAAAATTTCTTGACAAATTCCTATGAAATATGTCTTATTAAGGAATTATTAAAATTTATTTTCAAATAATAAAAACAATCTTTAATAGAAAAAAATATATTTATCAAATTAAATTTATTAAAAGTTAAAAATTAAAATTTCAAAAAAAAAATTCTTATATTTCCATTTTTATAATATTTCCAAGTCTGATTTAAGCAATTTATTTGAAATTAAAAATTTTGTCATAGTTTTTAGTTTTTAATGATCAAAAAAATTTCAGGCAATAATCAATCAAGTTTTATAGATTTTTAAATAAAATTTTTTTAAAAATAATAATAAATTTGAAAGAGTTATAATTAAAATTTTTAGAAATAATTGAATTTGAAAAGATTTTTATTAATTTTTAGAAAATAATTAAATTTTACAGAACTAAAAATAATTAAATTTTTAAAGATTTAGAATTTTGATTTTTAAAATTAATTGAACTTCATGTGATTTTTAATTTAAAATTTTTGATGATTTCAATAAAAAATTTATTAGAAATTGAAGACAAAAAAAAAAATAATTTCTAAACCAATTTTTGAGTGAAAAATGGTTTCAGATAGTTATATTTTCGTAGAATATTATAAAAAAAATCATTAAAAATAATTTGAATTTCAGAAGAATTATATAATTGAAATTATTAAACATCAAAAAAAAAATTTTAGATGGAAAATTTTCGAACTAATTAAATTTTAGAAGCTTTTAAATTAAAATTTTTGAAAATAATTGCGTTTCAGTTGATTTTTAATTGAAAATTTTGAATATAATTGAATTTTAGTTTGATTTTCAAAATAAAACTTTTAAACATAATTCAATTTTAATTGAAATTTCGGAAAATAACTGAATTTTAGTTGATTTTGAAATTTTTTAAAATAATTGAATTTGATTTGATTTTGAATTGAAATTTTTTTTGAAAATTGAAACTAAAATCTTTAAAAAATAATTTAATTTTTGTTCGTTTTTAATAAATTTTTTTACTAATTTCCATTAAAATTTTTAAAAAATTTAATTTTTTGACTAAATTGAACTAAAAATTAAAAAAAAAAAAATAATTAAATTTCTGATTTCTGATTATTGAAATTATAAAATTTCAAAAAATTTGAGAAGGAAAATTTTAGATATAATTAAATTTTAGAAGCATTTAAATTTAAATTAAAAAAAAAATTGAATTTCAGTTGATTTTGAATTAAAATTTTTAAAAATTATTGATTATGAATTAAACTTTTGGAAAAGAATTGAATTGAAATTATTTGAAAATAATAGAATCTTAGTTAATTTTAATTGAAATTTTGGAAAATAATTGAATTTTAATTTATTTTAAATTGAAAATTTTTTAAATAATTGATTTAAAATTAAAATTTGGGAAAATAATTGAATTTTAATTAATTCAGAATTAAAAAATTTTTAAATAATTGAATTTTAATTAGTTTGGGAATTTTAAATTTCGGAAAATAATTCAATTTTAATTGATTTTGAATTGAAAATTTTGAAAATAATTGAATTTTATTTGATTTTCAATTAAAAATTATTCAGTTTTAGTTTATTTTGAATTGAAATTTTTTTGAAAATAATTGAATTTTAATTGGATTTGAATTGAAATTTTACAAAACAATTGAATTTCAGTTGATTTTGAATTGAAATTTTTTAAAATAATTGGATATTTAATTTGTTTTGAATTTAAAATTTTAAAAATAATTGATTTTTAATTGAAATTTTGTATAATAATTGAATTTTAGTTGATTTTGAATTGAAAATTTTAAAAGTAATTGAATTTTAGTTAATTTTGAATTGAAATTTTTGAAAATAATTGAATTTAAAAAGATTGTATTAAATTTTAAACAATAATTATTATAATAAAATAAATTTTTAATGATTTTTGTTGATGAAGAATTTATTAGAAATCATATAAAAAAAAAATTGAATTCCAAAAATTTTTTATTAAAAGAATGTTTCTAGATAATTGAATTTTCGAACGAATTTAACAAAAATCCTTAAAAAAAAAATAAATAATTGAAATTTTTGCAATTAATTAAATTTCAAGTGATTTTGAATTAAAAATTTTTTGATTAATTTTATTTGATAATTTTTTTTTTTTTTTTTTTTTTTTTTTTTTTTTAAATTCTAAAAGTCGCATTTTATTAAAATAAGTCGAAAAAAGTCGTATTTTTGAAAAAAAAAATGGAAAAATTATAATCCAATGCCTGAATAAATAAAATTAATAAAATATATGGAAATGAAAATTAATTTTTTTGAAAAAAAAAAATAATTTCGAGTATAAAAAATTATAAAAGAGGTGAATTTTTTTTTTTTGAAACTGAGAAGATTTAGTCCTTTTTGATGAATAGAGAAAGAGAGCAAGAGAGAGAGAGAGAGAGAGATACAGTCAGAAATGTGAGTCCTGGCATGAGGAAATGTGAGATTTGATAAGTTGCACAGAAACGAG